ATAAGCTTTTGGATCACCCTGGCGTGTATCTTGATCTTGTGATGAGCTGAATACAACTCCTGATGTAAATCTATAAGTCCCACTTCCATTTGATCAACCCGAGACTGAAGTACATGGATATCTCTGATTGCTTGTTCTAGAATCACTATCGCATTGGCCTCGCCGGAAGTCGAACCTAACAAAAAAGAATGAACATCAATTTGTACAGTCTTGGTCTACTTGATAACTGAGAGAGTACATACCATTTGATAATTGATGTTGTTGTAAAGCTTTCGGAGTATTCAACATAATCTGCTTCTCAAGCTGAACCAGCGTACTGTGCATACGCACCAATTCTTCCGCTAATCCTAGACACATGTACAATTCGATACGATTTGATTGAGCAGTTGGAAAATGATGAAAAGAGACATTAAAGGGTATTCTACCTGATATTTCATTCTTGTTCGCCTCTTTACTGACATCATCATCGGGTTTCACCATGGCAGGGGCACCTATGTCTGTGAGATTTTGGTGAATGCCCACTCGATAACACTCAGTGGAGTTCAACATTATCAAATTTCGAGTGATAGGCCTACTAACCCTGATTTTTAATTTCAAGAACCTTGCTACCAGCCAATTCCGTGTCCTCTGTGACTTCGGGTACATCAACGGGCAAAGTTTGATTGCCCGTGGACGCGACTGAATTTTTCAATTCCATGTCATTCGTGTCTCCAGAGTGATCTAAGTTAGAAGACCAGGCATCGCCAAATTAGTGGAGTTGCTAGCTGTGAAAGACAAAGAGTTCATACCTTTGGCCTCATGGCCTTCATCGTGACTGCCATTGTTTGGCATTGATGACAGCTGTGGAGAAGAGACTAGCGAGCTCAAACTGTGCAGATTATGGGACATGACTGAATTTCTTTGATGATTGAGAATTCGACACGACTTTGATGTGCTTGGAAACGAAGTGAAGATAAAGAGGTGGAAGTACGGTATGTCGAGTTGAGTTAGGGTCAAAACCGACATATGTGTCCTTGAATGTGCTGCGGGGATTAAGAAGTGTACTATGCATACCATGCTATACCATGACTTTAGAGAGCCTTCCAATCTCGATTAAAGAATTGTGAGGCGTTTAAATGAGTGTTCATCCGATTCTATCTGCATAGTAATCTTTCCAAATTTGTTGCAAATTGACCACACTCCAACTGATTTCAATTATAACGTCAGATGACATGCATGCATCAGAAATCATGTCTTTCAGGCTTAACAGGTATTTAGGATCCTCTAATCTTGGAACCTCGCTGTGCTTCTGGTACTATCAATCAATATATCAATTTGATCTCTGTTTTTCTTGGAAGGCTTGATGTTGTTACGTATCTATTGTTCAGCATACATTACGGTATGATATCGGGACATTCTTTTTCCAATCTTGACTTGCACAGAAACAAAAATACATACTACATTCAAAAATTAAACTCTGATACGCCAATCACAGGTGACCTATGCGCTTATAGACTAAGCGCATTCCCTATAAGCCCTCGTCATCCATATTTTCAACATCATCCATAATATACTATTCCATCTAAACAAACGGCTGAATTTATCAATAAACCCATGACTACTCCAATCCAATCTTGTGTATTTCTGCCTGATTATCTTCTTCAATATGTTGTTGAGGGCATCACGCTGCGGATTGATCCTGACCTTTTCCTACGCAAAGCCGCCACCGCCGAAATTTTAGAGACAATCTTGGCCTTCTATCCTCATTTCCGATTTACTCCAACTGCTCAACAAGATCGTGATCTGCTTCAAAAGATGTTCATTGGCATGGTGGCCCCACGTTTAGCAAACATAATCATCCCTACTCAGTGCGATACAAACTACATTCAAGCCCCATTACGGACTCCAATACATGAATCTCAGGAATCTGCGAAAACAGTGGACTCTAGCGCTGATATCGACATCAATCGGATGGAAATGTTCAACAAATTTACTCTCGCGTATCTCAAGAATGGGCAGTACCGCCTTGCAGCCGAAAACCTTAACCGCTTCATTGATAGTTACAAGTTTTTGAACCAAGAAGAGATCGATGAGATTATGGATGCTCGAACTGTTGCCAAAGAAGCTCTCCACGAAAGCTCATGCTATCTTCAAGAATGTCATCAGTCCATCGAGGGAATACAGCTCCTGTTACGCCAATGTGATCTCTCACCAACTGAACGCGAAAAGCTTGAGGAGCGTCAGAAAACCATGATTAATTCCTTAAGATCCCATCAGAGAATGTTTAGTAACTCTATCCAAGATTTCGGATTCATTGCCGCGTTGGCCGAATATCACAAGTGGGTTCCTTCAAGTTCTCTGCAGTTGATCTATAATTTCTACTAATATCATATTGATCACCATTAGGAACATCCTGGCTAGTCATCAACCCGTTGCTCCTAATTAGAAACTTTTAAAACAAGATATCAAAAAAACCTGCTCATTTCGAGCCACCTCGATACTCGACCTCGCATAATTGAGATGTAGGTTTTGGCTGGAAGTTTCCTATCTTATAATAATATATCATGTCGCTCTGGGAAACATAGATTTGTTATTCTGTCTCTGTGAAGCTAGAAAAAGTTTGAATGGCTGAACCATTGAGACCAAACGTGCCTTGCTTGTCGATTGAAATTCATGCGATCAGACCCAATCCGCTGAGTAAGATAATTTGCTACACCTTGTGAACTACTTTAGATGAGGATAGAGCCAGAGAACGAGTGAATCACAGTGCACATACAAGCTCATGTACATACAAATGAATCATTGATCGTGAAATAAAACTTTCCATCTGTGCTACACTTCTTAAGGGCACAATGTATGAGCATTCAGATAACATTAAGTCTAAATTGAGTGAAGAATGTGCATGCATGTGTCATGCGTGTTGGTCTACATCTCTTTGTGCTATTGCTGGTGACTGGTATCTGTGGGCATAACCCACATTTTTCTGTTCCTATATGAGTGGAGGTATATCACACAATGGAACAAAATGGCTGTACTTGGTTCAGACTTTTGAATTACTTAATCAGTGTTTCTTCCGTTGAATTCATATTTTACAAGGTAAAAGTAACTTTGAAAAAACTGAAACTCAAAGAAAATAGAAACCATCAGATTATTGAATTGGTAAACTAGCATTTCCGTTGAATTCCTATTTCACGATATGAAAGTAAATTTGAAAAGACTGGAACCACAAGAAAGTAATAATAAAAAAATGCTTCCATACTTCTGCCACCAGGGCCAAGTAACAGAAGAAAAAATACAAGACATGCAGCGCAGCTTATTCAGGAAACCGCCTGTGGCATATGACTCGTCAATCACTATATTCAGATTGGGAGTCAACTCCAGGTTCATTATACTCCACTCCACTCTCTGACTCATCATCACCTCTTTCATGTTGCATTAGCTGTACAATACACCTCTCTTGGGTTCGAATGTCTTGTTCGGATCTGCTGCATCGGTGATGCAAAAGATCCAGCTGCTGTTTCAAGCTGGAGACCGTATCCCTGAGTTGATCAAGACATTCAGCTTGAATGTCGAGACGACGTGTGGCATCTTTGAGTGCTTTATCTATAAAAAATGATGGGCAGAGTCAGTAAGATCTCAGCCAACTTCAAATGGCAAAGTTCACCTTGCTCATATCGTTGTTGTTCATGATGCATGATCTTGGCAACTGATGTTTCCTCGATAACTTCGACTCTTTTCATTAGCTGGGAGACCGATGTCTCAAGCGTAGAACTGCTTGTGTCGGCGT